CAAACATGTGATTAAACAAATAATGATAACCAATGATCATTAACAACTTTCATAATGTCATATTCATTATAACTGTCCAAGTGTTCCATCAACATTACTACGATGAAGTCACTCAAGTCAAGTGCTCACTATCCAGGAGCGATGGCGATTCGAATTGATTCCTAACCAGCTGGTCATTTATTCCTTACACAAACCTCACTCACCCGCTAAAGTGAGGTATCGGTCACCGAGTCAACTATCCAGGAATCTCGAGTTTGCTAGGAACCACATGTACCCAGGGGCCGACCGACTGCCCTTTGGTCTTATCATCGCGCCCCCGTGTCCTACCACACCTGCTCCGGCTCAGTGCGCTGCGGGCAATCTACTCGGCCCGAATAATCTCCTAGCTTCGTGGTCGAAAGGTACTTTATTCGGTCAGCTAAATGTAAGGCATGCGTTCAACATGACCTGAGGCCCAACAACGGTTGGTCCTTAATCGACACAGATGGAAAGCACTACAGTCCAAAACTCTGTAAGTCTCCGTCCGGTCTCAACTTCATTTAACACTTAATTATACCGTGACTACATAGTTCTCCAAGCAGATCCAAGTAACCACCTATAGCTCGTAGGTGACAGGAAATCACCCGACTTCTACCGGTCTAAGCCAGCTAAGCATTGACTCGACTGCGGATACCAGGGTAACAAGGATATAGTATAACAAAGGTAGACAAGGTATAATGCAGCAACGGTTGCAAACAACTCCTGAACGTAATGCATCAATTAAAGTAAAGCATTTAATTAATAATTGCAAACCGGGGAGAAAAATGCTCTGGGGCTTGCCTCTCTCGAAGGAGCTCAGGCGGTGATCGGGGCACTCTAGAAGTTCCTCAACGTCCTCCTCGTCTACTTCGGTCACTTCCTGCGGCTGCACCTCGAGCTATTCCTCGGGCTCCTTGGGTATGACGACTGGGTTCTCGGTTTGCGATCCTGTATGATGCATGAGCGTAAGTGCTTATGCAAAAGGTGCATCGGATGAAATGAGCACAATGGATATGCTTGAATGGAAGGTAGTCAACATCATCCAAGAACATTTACTATAAGCACATGTCATCTACTGCATTCTCTTCTACTACTAATATGCTAAGTCAACACATCTCATTAAATGCTTCAAAGATGCACCAAAGCTTCACTAATTCCTTAATCATGCATAAATCAACATTTGATTAAACCCTAATTAATAATAGGTTTGAATAGCAACATCTATTTTATAGCTTAGAAAAATCTTAGAAAATTACCATAACACAGTACTACCCTAAGTAGTCTACCATCAGATTTTATGGCATTTGGATAAGTGGAATAGCCTACACAAAAATGACAAGCTTGGACCTAATTATGAGCATGAAAATACTTTGTATTATGAAAAGTGTCAAACAGCAGATGTAATATTTTTCCTATGTTCTACACAGCAAATAATCACTGTACAAAAATTATCATATGCATGTTTTATACAAATTTTGCTCTCTAGCTAAAATAACAAAAATCAGCCACTAAAGGCACTTGAACTACTTTTCACAATTTTTCTACGGGACATGCATGGCATATGTTTTTCCTAGGAAGTACATTACACAAGAAGAGTAACAAACTTGGAAGCATATTTTTCTGATACATATAGGTTTTACTACACATTTTACAAGATATCAGCAATATCAAGGATTAAATAAAGGTCTACAGAAAAGTATCTCAAAAATGACATGCAATATTTTTATCATGTAGATCTGGTGACAAGGAACACAATAAAATTTGTTTCAACACATTTGGAGCAAATTTGAGCAAGTTATAATTTCCAAAGCAAGTAACAGAATTCTAAAAAAGCATTTCTTAAATCCTTTTTAAAACCGGCCGATGAAAATGATGGGTGCACCCGGATCTGAACACGCGTGTGCACACACAGGGACAGACAAACGGGCCCGGGGTTCAGCGGGACCCCACCTCGAACCAAAATAGAGGAGATCACCGACGGCGAGAGCTCGCCGACGGTGAGGTCTTTGGTCCGGTGATGGTGACCGGCGTGCTCCTCACACCCGCGCGAACCCCGCGGTGCTCGTGGCATGGGCCAAAGAGCACGGGAAGCCGACCGCTACTGTGCATGGCGGAGAGGCAGCGCGGGTCGTCGCCGGTGGAGCGTCTCCGGCCATGGCAGGGCGAGAGGAGGTGCTCGGGAGACTCAATGGTGCAGTGCGGTGCTCGTGCGCGAGAAAGAAAGGCGGGCAAGGAAGCGGAGCGGGGAAGTCCACGAGAGCGGAGCTCACCGGTGAGCTCGGCCATGCTCCGGCGAGCAATAGCGGCCGGCTCGGGCCTTACCACGCCGAACTGTGATGAGCATGAGCTGTGCGAGACCGGGGCGAAGGCGTAGCGAAGATGTAGCGGGCTCCGGTGGTCAGGCGTGGCCGGAACGGCTACGCCGGCGATGGCGCTCGGCGGAGCGAGCACTGCTGCGGCTGTTGCTGCTGCTGAGCGAGCGAGACAGTGGAGTGGGGAGTGAGAAGGAGCGCAGCGCGACCGAGAAGGTGAAGGCGCGACAGGAGGGCGCGGGGCAGGCCGGGGCTGCCGCACGGCGTGCGTCGCAGGCTCATGGCGGCCACGCGGCGAGCGCGCCCTGACGCGGTCGGGCGCGGCGCGCGGGAACAGGCACGGCGTGGCGCTAAGGCAGGACGGGCCGGCGTGAGCGGCTGGGCCAAAAGCGAGGCTACGACCCATTCAATTGAAATGTGATTTTTTTTAATTTATTTTCTATCCCCATTTCCTTCAATGCAAAATTTTGAGCAATTTCAAAGCAGTTTTAAAAGTTAGTGTAAAAATGAAAGTTGTTTCATTTTTCAAGATCTACAACTTTGCTTTTATGACCACAGTCCAATTCCAAATAGATTTTGAATTACAAAATAAACATCAATATTAATTCAAAACCCTAATTTTGAAGAATTGTTTAAAAGCAAAATTTGGCAAAACTTTGAATATGAACTTGGCTCTAATTTGTATCCTAAACATTTATAAGGTACCTTAGTGATCAAAACAAGAACCATTTCATCCAAACATGAGCATGGCATTTCACATCGTTTGAAACATGAATAAATTTTCAATCAACTTAAGCATCACATGAAATGATACTTCATTTCTTTCGAAATGGAATGCGTGAATGATGCTTATGCATGAGGTGATGATGATTATGTTCATGGGATGGAATGTTAGTGCATGCTTAACACCGAGGTGTTACACTCCCTCCCTCCCTTCGTCCCTCCATCCCTCGCCCCTCCGCGACCTCCCTCCCTCCTCCCTCCACGCTCATTGCGCACGGGCCCACCTGTGCTCCCTTCCTCCCTCCGTCCCTCGCCCTCCACGACCTCCATGCACCCCCACTCTCCCTGCGATCCGGCTCCCGCACCCCACCGGAGACGAGGACGACAGCGGCGGCTCTGACGAGGTAGATCGCGGAGGGATCTGGATCTGAGGCCTTGCTCCTCCTCCTTCTCCTCTGGATCTGAGCCCTCCTCCCTCCTCCTCCTCCTCCCCCTCTGGATCTAATCCCTCCTCCTTCTCCTCCTCCTCTGGATCTAAGGGATGCAGCAGTGGCTAGGGTTCCGGCGAGCTCTCGGGGGGGGTCAGATCTTGCCGTGTTGTAATGGTTTTTTGGATGTTGAAACAGATGATTTCGAATGTGGCAATGGTTTTTTTTGTTGTTGCAACAGATGTTTTTGCATTGTTGTAGTAGTACTGCTTGAGATGTTGCAGTATGTTTCAGTTGCTTCAATCTCATGTTGCAGTAGTTATTCCATGTTGTTGCAAGTGTTTTTATTTCGAGTGTTGTTTCATATGCTTCACACCAGTGTTGCAACAATATGTTCCAAATATTTCAGATCCTTCATCCTATTTGTTGCAGTAGTTTGTTCGGTGTTGTTGCAATAATATGTTCCAAATGTTTCAGCCCCTTCAACCTATTGTTGCAGCAGTTTATTCTGTGTTGTTGCAATAATATGTTCATGGTGTTTCAGCTGCTTCAGCCTAATGTTTCAGCTGTTGTTCCTTTGTTATTGCAATAAATATTCATGGTGTTTCAACTGCTTCATCCTAATGTTGCAGCTGTTATTCCTTTGTTGTTGAAATATATATGTTCATGGTGTTTTAGCTGCTTCAGCCTAATGTTACAGTAATTGTTTCCGTGTTGTTGCACGTGTTTTATTCCAACTTTCTATTTTGTTCGGCCGGGGAGAGGCGAGCCGGGACAGATGGGGGCACGTGGTTCGCCGGGGCCCAGCGGGCGGAGGTGCTGGGGCCGGCGGACGCAGGATGCTATGGTCGTGGCGGTGCTGGGTATGCAACATGCTCGTCGCGGGCATGGGGCGGACGCGACGGGCTACGGGGCGATTTGGGGGCGTGCGGACTCGCGCGGCACAGAGTCTAGCGGGGCTCTTCATAGGCATCGCGGGTCGCGGGTTCGTCGGTGTTAGCGGGGCTCTTTGTTCGACGAAGACACAGCAGCGGCAGTTCGCGTGGGTGCGCAATCTCAGGGCGGCGGCGTCGGTCTATGCTGCTGCCCTGGCCTCGTACCATCGCCAGCAGGTCCGCTCCTTGCGTGCGTCGCGGGGGGCGTGCTGATAGTGTGTGGTGCGGAACTGAGAAGTTGGAGCGCGCGTTGGGGGAGTGCGTCCACGGAACCGTGCGATAGATCCGCATCCATCGGACGTCCAGGCGCCAGCGCTACCATTTATAATGCCACCACAAGTTTGTGTTAGCGGAACTCGTTGGTGGAGCGTGGAGCTACTAGACACTACTACTTGCTACACCAAAAATATTTCATTTGGTGGTACTTGTTTATGATCTACGAATGCATCCAGAGCGCAACAAAGCACTTTCGCGATCATCTTTATTCCTCACTAGAAGTATTTATTTATACAACAAATCTGTTGTGGCCTGTGGATATTAGTCGATCTTCCTTTGTGAATTGTGATGAGTGTCGTGATATCCATTTATTTGCTTGCATCTTCAGTCGCCGTCGCCGCGTGTGGCTCGGCGATCCTCTTCCTGCCCATCTCGACCAGCCGTTCGATCGGCGGCAAGGCGGCCTTCGCCGCGTCGAGCGCGCAGAACCGGTCCGCCCACGCAGCCAGCCGCGGCGCCCTGGCGGGGTCCACGATCCTGAGCCCGGTCGTGGGCTCTGACGCCTGTATCGCCGGCACGAATCCGCCGAGCGCGAGGTCCACCAAGCCGACGCCGTCGCCGCCGAACCACCCGTTCTCGCTACCAGTGCGCTGCGCGTCTGCGAGCGCGCCCTCCAGCGCGTCGACCGCGCCGAGCATCCGCGCCCCCGCCTCCGCCTTATCCTCCTCCGTCCTCGCCGCGTAGATCGCCAACCACGAGCTCAGCAGCTGATTGCAGACAGGTGATTGTATAAGTAAACAAAAGGGGGTTTAATTTTATCCTTAATTACTACCTCGCCGTCGACGTAGGCGGCCCAGAAACGAGCGACGGCGCGGCCGTGAGGGTCGGCCGGGAGGAACGACGCCGGGCCGGCGCCGCGGAAGGCCTCGTCGAGGTACTCCACGATGAGCATGGACTCGCACACCGGCTTACCGCCGTGGAGGAGCACGGGCACCTTCTTGTGGACGGGGTTGGTGGCGAGGAGCAGGTCGCTCTTGTCGGTGAGGTCCAGCTCCACGTACTCGTAGTCCAGCCCCTTGAGGTGCAGCGCCACCCGCACCCGCAGCACGAACGGGCTCGCCCAGGCGCCCAGCACCTTCAGCTCGCGGGCTCCGGCAGCACCATCCATGGTTTGGTTTCCCCGGCAGGCCGGCCGGTCACTCCAATCAAGCTTTAGCTTCAACTGCAAGTCTGCAAGGAGGGACTAGAGTGTTTCTCGATCGCGGGCTCTCCTTTGGTCAAATGAAAACGATAAGAACTGAGCAAATAAATAAATACATTACACGGAGCCTGGCTAGAAATAAAGAACCAGGTAACGATTGACCATGGATTTGCATTGGCCATTGACCCTTGGGGGTCCTCGAGTGGTGGCTGAGCTGATTAGTCTTCGCGCCACGCGTCACCTAGTCAATGCATCTCATCACGCATAGAAGTGCCATCTATTATTTTCCATCTCCAATGAAGCATGTACAACTAAGACGCTCAGAGGAGGTGCTCAGCAGAAAAACCTATTTTTTCACCAACAATATGGGGGCGGCTGTTTGGTTTACAACGTGTCAATCCGACCACCATAGGCCCAAAATCGATGGCCCGGTGATGAGGACATCGCCATGCTGGACAAACCGACGCCATGGTCTTCCCCAAGTTGCAATTCGTTTCCAACTCAGCTGCCACGTCACCTTCAGATTCAGCAGACACGTCGTCACTGTTTCGGTCATAACTTTCTCATACGACATCGAAACGGGCCGTTCTTGGATGCGTTGGAAAGGGGACGACGACGCCGTCGTTTTGGATCTGGTCCCAGCTCCAGAAGGTCCGTGGATCATTCTGTGTGACCACGGCAAGGTGCTGCGTCACCTATTTGGGCCAACTTGGTCATGTATCATGTCGGGCCTTAAGCCCAAGTTGTGGGCGCCCAACCCCTGGCCGTCCCCAACCCTAGGTCGAGTCTTAGACTATAAACACAGCCGTCGCCGCTGCTACACAATTGGGTTTTGTTTAGAGTTTAGTTTTCCATCGAGAAACTGAATCGTTCATTGTAACTGTGGTGACAAATCCTTTTACAGTGATCCGGGGCCCCCGTTCTTGATCTCCTCCACTGTGTCGATTAGTCCTTTGGAACTGAGTTCTTGAATCCTCTATTGATATTCGCGTCATTCATATTTGCAATATCAGATTGCGTGTTTTACCTTCTTGCTTGTGCTCTTCGATTTGCTTGCAGGAAAAGCCTTCTTAGCGAGATCAATCAAGTTGTGCTTGGTTGATAACCAACGGAGTAGTGGTGTAAAGGTTGCAGGGTTTGAATCGCGTCTGATTTGAAGCCGGATCGCCAACGTCGAGATCTCCACAAATCGAACTTACCGGCTACCTCTCGGAAGATCGGGCATGTACTCATCAATTGGTATCAGATATTTCAGGTTTACCGCGAGGTATAATCTCGTTCGCCTTAGATTCGTATTTGTTCATTACCTAGAGTCTACAAAAAGCCCAAAAATATTTCAATTTCCGCTGTCCTATCGCCCTTTGTGCCTTTGCAATCTCGTTTCAGGTTCGTGTTGTTGAGTTTGTGTCCGTGGTCGAGTCTTGTTGCTGGTTTAGGATTGTGTTCGTGGTCGTAGTTCAATCGCCCGTTGCTGTGATTTTTGTTTTCCGCCGCTATCCCATCCACCGCTTCTCAAACAACAAGTTGAAGCCACCACATTACTCGACTTGCCCTGCTAGCCGCTTTGTGTCACTTCTCGCCGCCGCACAAACCCTAGACAGGTTGTCAGCCGCTCTTATTTTGCCTGCATCGCAGCCCTCCTTACATCATCAGGCGAATACCTACTGCTGTTAGTCACAGTGACGATCCTGTGATCGGTGTTAGAGTTTCGGGACGCTTTGCCCTAACTGCCGCCGCCATGTTGTGCCTCCTGAAAAACATACCTTGAGATACCTTCGGTAAAACAGGCATAACTTTTCGCTCGTTTATCCGAAAAATCTGAAATTTTTTCAGCAGCTTCTTGACACCATTTGGGGCCGACCCAAACTTTTGCACGCTTTTCAGAGAACGTGCTGAATTTCTATAGACCACATCCCACCTCAGTTGTAGGTGCCAATTTTTGTGGTTGCATCTTTTGTAATCCTTGTTCAGAGAAAAATATATAAAAAATAGTAAAAAATAAAAAAGTTTGTTTTCTACTAGTGCCTTTTGGAAAAATCTGGGAAAAAATTCAGGAAAAAAGGAGAAATCCGGGCTATTTGCTTGTTCTGTGAGTTCTTTCGATCGTCCTTTGTTTTCACCTTGTTGCGCTACGTCTCGACACGTCTTAGCCAGCACCTGTGATTTGTACTTTGGATCCGGATTGAACAATCATTAATATGCATTCGTTAATTGCTAATCCTTGCTTTGTCATATTGTGTGCCTACCCATAGCTCCACATATTCTTCTTCATCGGCAAGACAGTTCATCTTGCAATCTATTACCCACGCCCCACAACAGATTGCTTCGCCATTTTGGTTTTGCTCTGCTTGGCGTTGGTAAGAATACGAGCAAGATGGTGGTAAGCCGCTTGTGATTTTGCATTCCACTTTCACCACCATCACCACCACCACCACTTGTTTCCTTTTAGTTGATAGGGATAATACTTTGGTGTTGTCTTTTTTTCTATCTTCTAACCATGGCAGGAACTCCGATGGACTTCAATGAGTGCGTGTCCAAGGGCGAGCTTACAATGTTCATGACTGAACAACGCAATCTTATGACCGAGCTGACGCGCAACGTGAACAATCTGGTCACCCGCATTGAACAGTTTGAGCAACGCCCTCTACCTTATCGTGCTGATGATGAAGATGCGGATGCTTTTGGTGATGAAGATGCGTATGCTGACGGTGGTGCCCGTCGCCACCTCAACTTCAATCGTCGCGGTATGGAAGGTAATAATCATGGTAATAATGATCCTTTTGCTAAAATTAAATTTAGTCTACCTCCTTTTGCTGGTAATGTTGATCCAGAGGCATATTTAGATTGGGAGGTTGCTGTTCAACAAAAATTTGATTCTCATAATGTTCCCGCTGAGCATAGAGTTAGACTTGCTACTAGTGAGTTTACTAATTTTGCTTTGTTCTGGTGGAGTGATCTTTGCAATGCCAATAATGTTGTTGCTGTGCCTCAAACTTGGAATGTTTTAAAGCAACGTATGAAATCTCGTTTTGTTCCTCCTTATTACCAACGTGATTTACGTTTGAAACTACAAACTTTAAAACAAGGTGATAAAGGAGTAGAAGCATACTATCAAGAATTGTTTATTGGTTTAGCACATTGTGGTATAAATGAAGATGATAATGATGCTAGTGCTAGATTTTTTGGTGGTTTAAACCATGATATACAGAACATACTTGATTACAAAGAATGGCGCAATTTTTCCCAATTGTATCATCTTGCTATTAAGGCGTAACGAGAAGTACAGGACGCGTAAACAACACCACCTTTCAGGTCTAACAATGGGAGGAATTTTCAGCAGCGTTCCCAGCCGGAGACGCCCAAGCTTCCTGTTGCACCACAGCCATCTACACCTCCATTTTCTTCCGGGGTAAGTAAATTGTCTAATATGCAGTTTCCACAGCTGAAGAAAGGTGGCACTCCGGGTGCTTCTACTAGCTCCTCCTCGTCCAGCTCTAAAATCATTTGCCACCGATGCAAAGGCATGGGACATGTCATGAAGGATTGCCCCAGTCGTCGCGCTTTCATTGCTACCGAGGATGGATATGTAAGTGCTAGTGATGTTGAAGATGATTTAGCCCTTGTCGCTAACATTGATGCAGATCCCACCGAGGGCGATCAAGACAAGGAGGCCATCACCATTGACTCAGTGGCGCTGCCCATGACTACCCTAGTCTTCTTGTGCGTGTGTGTTGAGTACACGTGTGGGACATGAAGAAGACATGAAGATCCAACGTCACAATTTGTTCCACATGTATCTCATTGTGCAGGGTTGTCGTGTTCTCACTATCATTGATAGCGGGAGTTGCAACAACTTGGTGAGTTCAGATTTGGTTGACAAGCTTGGCTTGACCACGCGACAACATTCGTATCCATATAAACTTCAATGGTTCAATAATAGTGGTAAGACTAAGGTAACTAAATCAGCACGCATTAACTTTTTCACAGGCTCTTATCATGATACTACTGATTTTGATGTTGTCCTTATGCAAGCTTGTTCCATTTTGTTAGGTCGACCATGGGAATTTGATAATGATGCTTTACACCATGGTAGAACTAATACTTACACTATCATACATAAGGACAAGAAAATTACATTGCTGCCTTTGTCTCCTACGAATATTGTTAAACATGCTAATGAGATTAAAAATAAACCTCCAATAGACATTGCTAAAAAAATGGGATTAAGTTAAAAGGAGGTGCTTTTCTTGCTACAACTTCGCTCTGCTGAGTTATGTGATAATCTCTGATGCACCATGTTATACTATGTTTTGTCATCCTTTTATGTCTGGTGCATTGCCTGCATCACTAACCTTTTGCGGGAGTTCATTGATGATGGGATGAAGTCAAGGACGACTCCAATTCTAGAAGGAGGGGATGATGAGGACATCGCCAAGATGGAGTCGAGGACAACTCCAATTCGAGAAGGGGAGGATGATGAGGACATCGCCATGCTGAACACACCGACGCCATGGTCTTCCCCAAGTTGCAATTCGTTTCCAACTCAGCGCCACGTCGCCCTCGAGATTCAGCAGACACGTCGTCATCGTTTTGGTCATAACTTTCTCATACGACATCGAAACGGGCCGTTCTTGGATGCGTTGGAAGGGGACGACGACGCCGTCGTTTTGTATCTGGTCCCAGCTCCAGAAGGTCCGTGGATCATTCTGTGTGACCACGGCAAGGTGCTGCGTCACCTATTTGGGCCAACTTGGCCATGTATCGTGTCGGGCCTTAAGCCCAAGTTGTGGGCGCCCAACCCCTGGCCGTCCCCAACCCTAGGTCGAGTCTTAGACTATAAACACAGCCATCGCCACTGCTACACAATTGGGTTTTGTTTAGAGTTTAGTTTTCCATCGAGAAACTGAATCGTTCATTGTAACTGTGGTGACAAATCCTTTTAAAGTGATCCAGGGCCCCCGTTCTTG